TTTCGAGTTACCGAGTTGGTGTGTTTTCGAACTCACTGATTCATTTGAAGATTATTGCCATTTTACATTTCAATAAGAAAACACGTAAAACAGCGATTCTACTTGCACTATGTCTACTTAAAATTGTACCAAAAAACTCGGGTCAGTATTGGCGCGTATCAGAGAGTTTCACACCCTCTCTGAACTGCATGTGCGAGTCGTATCCCGACAAACATCCCGCGGAAAAAGGGCGGATCCACCCGCATCCTCCCGGAACATCCCTTAAGGTTCACATGCAGAGCAGCCCCGCTGTGGGCGCCCTAGCCCATCGGATTTAAGGTTCAATTGTGTATAAGAATTCCGCGGATTATGACTGCAATGTAAGGGAGGAGAACATCTGCTATGATTTACGGTCGGCGTTTGAATTATCGGCTTATTCGGCGTGCCAATTCATTTTCCCACGCACGGCGGAGGACAGAGAGGGGTGCTTTCGGGTCATTCGTGCGACGAGGGATGGGGTTGTGGTTTTTCTCCGTTCGGAATTGCCGTGTTTCACGGGGCGGTTCGTCGCTCCGATAAAGAAAAAGCGTGGCTCAATTTTAACTTGAGCCAGAGAAAGTATGGGCGTGTACGGGCGACAGAGCTCATTTTGAAGTGTGGTTACGCTGTTTGGCCGGCGCTGCGACGCTTTAACGAACGGTGGCATTCAACGCCGATCTTCGCCCACCTGCGCATAAAGGGATTCGAACGCTTTCCGTTCGAACTATTTGATGAATGGGTTTTACTTAAATTGAAACCTTTTCGAAAGCGCGGAAGAATTATCTGAAATTTTAAGGGCTTGTGCAAATTTTGCTGGCTAATTATTTTGAGGGACCAATTATATGTTCAAAGCAAGAAAACATAATATTTTAGAAAATAGTTCGTTAGTTAGTTAATATATTTTAAGACATTCAGCTTCACAGGCTATTAACGTATTTACAGAGAGTTTTGAAAATGGGTGTATGTACGAAAATTTAGATTTTTATATTAAGAGAGGCAAAGAGTTTCAGAAGTTTGGTGGTGACATTGGTTTCATCAAAATACAATTTTCTAATTTGCCATCAGAAGTATGTACTTTTTCATTTAGTTTCATTTCGTTTTTCATTCATTTAGTTACTTATTTGTGGTTTTTGTTTTCTTAAAGTGTCATTCTTGCATAAAGTTTAATTCTTGCTGAAAGTGTCGAAAAACTGAAGGTGTCGAGTTCTTGTGTATTTTGGTTAAAAAAACCCTTGACTGAAATAAAATTAAAACAATGAATACAAAATTTAATAGCTAATTCTATTTAGATTAAACGGAATTTAAATGGTTTAAAATATGAATTGTTGACAATTTTTTTTTTAAAATTTATTTATAATTTGTACAACTGAGCCTCTGGCTGAGGCTATGGCACACGTCATATATTCGGTACATGGTGAACAGGTATATACAGTGATATACATATGGTATAAATGTAAAATTATACTAGCCTACAAGTTGTATAGCCTACAAAATAAATACACATTTACAGGATTTTTTCACAATTGTTAAATCTCTCTATTCCGTTCGGTTGCACGAACCGAACGTTGGGCGTACATGACTAAACTTTAGTTAGTCAGTTCACTTTACTGCACACGGTCAGTTACACGAACCGAAAGTTTGGTTTGACAAACCGAATTAGTTGGGATGATATGTAACACCAAAGTTCGATACGTGGGACCAAACTTTTTTTGTAGTGATGCTTTCTGATTCAAAGCAAAATCCGTCGGTTTGCAGCGCAAAATCTTGGAGACAGCGGCTGCCGGGTAGAGTGCCTAAAAGGCGTTCCACACCCGGCACTACATTCACGGAGATAATTGTCGCCTGAGACTGACACTCGACCACAAATTAAAGAGGCTCTCGCTGCGGGAGCGGTACACGGATTCGGCAGGAATCCAAGAGGGTCCAGCTGTATCGCGGTTTGCATCCCTTTGTTTCGCTTGGAGTGTGATGCGGCTTTTTGCCGCGAGCGCCTCAAGGAGGAGCGCTCTCCGGCTGAATAAAGTTGGAGAGGCTGCCAGGAATGTGTCCCACTCGTCGTTCGCCGCGACTTACAACCGGGCTTACGAGAGCCGAAAGCCACAAAGCAAGCGAATTACTCTTGTTAGCGACGATACGACGTGCTCTGCCGTTTCTCCTCCAGCAGAATTCGAGAGCAATGCAATATCAGAGAGGCACGTATGGAAAGTCGTCGAGGCGTTCGCCCCTATAGACATTGTCATCTCCACTTTTACGCCAGGCTCGGAGCGGCCTCCATGCGCTGTATGCGTAGGAATTCCGTAAAAGCGCTCCGTGGAACAAGGAATCGGGACTCCCGGCTGAGGTGGATTTTTTCCCCCTTTCCAGATGGCCCGCACTAAGAAAAATATTTGTATTGCTTTCGGTTCTTGTACAGGATGTCACGTTTATTTTTATTTTGGGAAATCCTGATGAAATCCTGATTTTTCCTGATTTTTGACTGCTGAATCCTGATTTCATATTTTTCCATATTCTGATTTTTTGCGGAGAAAAATTAAAATTTCTGCTTAAGCGTATGCGAAAGCATAAAAAAATCTGATCGGGCAGCCGACTTTTTTCAAATCCTAATTTTACGACCGATTATTGCTCAAACCCGGACAGAATCGGGGATGATGAGATATATTAGCTCTGAGATGCATGAGCCGGGTAAAATTGACCCGAGGCATACTTAAACCACGTGGTCTGCGGGCTGAATGGGGCTGGTGCATGCGAGCTTTTGATAAATATCTAGAAATTAATCGTAAGAATAGACATAGACATCAAAATAAAAAATAAAAATAAAATATTGAGTGTCAACACAGCCGGAAACGGGAGAGACTTTTTCGGGCCCCCTTTTTAACTTTTCCCCTGAATCTGAGGAACATCTCATGGGCAGATTATATGTATAGAGCGGAGCATTGCAAAAACACGCCGTGCGCCATGGCGCCTTCAATTTTGCAGATGCAATACGGACATCCATCAAGCACTAATAGTTGTATCTCGGCGCCGTCATCAACGCGCGTCCTTTCTCATTCTCTATTTCAATCTTGCGATGGTCCCGTTTCTCTTATTAACAGTGGTGCTTTTTAGTTAATTGGACGTATTTCTGCCAAAGGGAACTTTTGGCGAGTGGCAAAGATGAGTTGTGCTCTAGAAAGCTGCATAAGAAACAATGTAGTAGTGGGCGTGATCCCCTCTTAGCGGGATTTTACATTCTGTCAAACGGAACTATAAGCCGACTGAATGCGGCAGTCATGAGCCGTGGGAATGGATAAAGAGCGTTATGGACAGGGCTCATGAGTTAAATCCGAGCAAGAGCGACAACCGGAGACGGCTTCGTTGCTACTGACGTCACTGGCATTTTATAATAGACCACTAGACAAGGTACGAATCTAAGCATTCTGATACATGTTTCTTAACCAAAATTTCACGCAGAGCACGATTCGCGCAACGAAAACTAATGAAACAAACTCCAACCGAGGATATTAACGTTTTTATTTCACATTGGTTACGAGGAATTTGAACTGCCCGCTCACAAGAAACTCAAAGTTCTACGTGAGTCAAATCGCGCACTACAACGGTTTCAACAAGCTTCTCAATCGAGTAATGTTCATTTCCCACCATATGTTGTTCAAACTATAAGCAATTTGCTGCAGCTGAGCCAAAGCGTCAAGATTGAGGTTGCCAGATTTTTATATCGCAGAGACTGTCATGATAACGTTCAGCGCACGATGTGAATCACGCAGAGCATTGAGTTTTCATGAGCGCGTGGTTTGAATCCACACATCAAGAATCATTAAATATCTTTGGAAGGAGTTAATTTCGGTAATTTTCCTTGTGCACGTCGTATTTTACGTGAAATTTTATTTAAGAAACATGTATCAGAATGCTGAAATTCGTACCTTGTCTAGTGGTCCATTCCCATTCATTCTTAGAGTCCTCAACTAACGAGCACACCTCTTATTTTCCACCTGCACCCGGTTCTGTTTGGCAGAGATACGTCCGATTCTGCCGTGCTAAGGAAGAACGCCGTATGAACCTTCAGGCGTTGCCAAATTTCCTTTGGTAAATCACGAATCCTCTGGAAAATTTGTCAATATTTATCTTCCAATTTTTCACATAATTTTGTTCACAATATCACCCGAAGTTTCTAAAAATTTCAAGGAAAAATATTCATAACTTTTCTCAGACATAAACATTTTATCCAAAGAAATTTGGCAACTCCCGAATGTTCATACGGCGTTCTTCCTTAGCACGGCAGAATTTAGATGTTGCATGTTTGAGGAATTTGCGATTTGACTGTTGATTCTTATGTATAAGTTTGCGAGAAACACGATGGTGCCACTGGTTTTCTCTGAAATCAACTCCCAAGCTCAAAAAAAGCCCTCAAGTTGAGGCCAAAATGGAGGGGATATCCCACGTGATCCTAAGAGTCCACCTCTACATCAAAACGAACTCTCCATGCAAAGATAGGGAGCAAATACATTGACAGGGTTGCCACTTTATTTGGGGAGTCCACAACTGAAAACACGGCAACCCTGCTAATGTATTTGCTCCCTATCTTTGCATGGAGAGTTTGTCTTGATGTAGAGGTGGACTCTCAGGATAGCGTGGGATATCCCCTCCATTTTGGCCTCAAGTTGAGCTTTTTTGAGCTTGAGAGTTGATTTCAGAGAGAACCAGTACTACCATCGTGTTTCTCGTGAACTTTTACATAAGAATCGACAATCAAATCGCAAATTCCTCACACATGCAACATCTCCATTTGTCGATACTTTTCTTCCAATTTTTCCCATAATTTTGTTTACAATATCACCGGAAGTTTCTAAAAATTTCGAGGAAAAATATTCATAACTTTCCTCAAACACAGGCATTTTATCCAAAGAAATTTGGCAACTTTCGAACGTTCATACGGCGTTCTTCCTTAGCACGGCAGAATTATATTGGATATTATATTCGGTTCTGACCTGAGAATGCGGTTGCGCTGGTCCTCCTCGAAGCCGTACTGGACGTCGTTGGCGTTGAAGTCGTGGTAGCTCTCGGTGGTGGCGACGCCGATCATGAGCTGGGTGGTGATGAAGTGCTCGGGGGCGGACTCGACCATGCGGAGGGGCTCCGGGGCGGGGAGGGCCGGCCCGAAGGCCGAGAGGAAGCGGGGCGCCACCAGGCGGACGGCCAGCAGCGAGGCCAGCGTGTGCGTCCGCAGGCACGGCGCCAGGTCCGAGGCCAGCGCGCAGCCCAGCTCCGCCGCGATGCTAGCTCGCGCCCCGTTCGGGTCGTGCACCACCGCCCACGGCGACAGCATCGAGCCGCTCATCGCTATCACCCGGTGAAATAAACCTGCAACACCGCAATCATACATCTTAAATTAAAAAGAAGAAAAAATCTGTGCAATCCTTAAGGGATGCAGAGACAAAAAAACACCCTCCACGGCGGGCTGATTGTTGAAATTGATAGACATAGCCATAGACAAAGAAGACTAAAGGGACATGGAAAGTAATTCCCCACACTGGAAAAAAAGCACGTTGGATCTAGAGTCCAGACCCTTAAAAACATCGACAAGAAAAAGTACTCTTGATTCAATCAGATTTGAGCTTAGATCAAAAACCAAGCCTCTTAATTGGAGCGGATTTCCTTTTGATTTAAGCTTAAATCTGATTGAATTAAGAGTATTTTTTCTTGTCGATGTTTTCAAGAGTCTTTGAGAGCTTTTTTTGAGCTTTGGAGTTAATTTCAGCGAAAATCAGTGGCACCATCGTGTTTCATCGCATAACTTATCACTTCACGATCTTTTCAGTGAATATGAGAATCAGACTTGATGAGGGTGACAAAATTGAATTCACGCGTGTTTGGAGATCAATTTGTTAGCTCGAGTCTCGCAAGTTTTAAATGGTTAATTGTGATTGAGGCGTGGGCTGACCTTTTGCTGAAGGCATTAGAGCTAGGATTGTGGCGAGGGCGGCGCCCGTGTCGTGACCCATGATAGTCACCCGCCCTGGGTCACCGCCGAAGGCAGCTATGTTTGATTTGATCCACCTCAGGCTCGCTATCAGGTCCGATACTGCGAAGTTCCCGCTCTCTGCTTTTCCTTTTGAATGGGTTTTTAAGAAACCTGAAACAAATCCACATTCAACAATGAGAATAAAGACAAAACCCTTCTTAATCGAATTTGAAATACAACAAAAGTGTAATAAAAAGTATCATATTCATAATGGAGATGTTGCATGTGTGAGGAATTTGCGAATTGACTGTTGATTCTTCTGTAAAAGTCCGCGAGAAACACGATATGGCCACTGGTTTTCTCTGAAATTAACTCTCAAGCTCAAAAAAGCTCTCAACTTGAGGCCAATATGGGAGGGGGTATTTCACGGTATCCTGAGAGTCCACATCTACATCAAGACAAACTCTCCATGCAAAGATAGGAAGCAAATACACTGACAGGGCTGCCACTTTATTTGGGGGCTCTAAAACTGAAAACACGGCATCACTGCTAATGTACTTGCTCCCTATCTTTGCATGGCAAGTTTGTTTTGATGTAGAAGTGGACTCTCGGGATAGCGTGAGATATCCCCTCCATTTGGGCCTCAACTTGAGAGCTGTTTTTGAGCTTGGGAGTTGATTTCAGAGAAAACCAGTAGCACCATCGTGTTTCTCGCGAACTTTTACATATAAATCAATAGTCAAATCGCAAACTCCTCACACATGCGACATCTCCATTCATCAGTATACGTGCATATGAAGAAAGCTCTTCACTCTTATATCAATGCTTTCCAGAATGGTCACTGGATGAACAAGAACATATTTCAAAGAAGACAGAAGTCTTATGATAATACCTCCTTTGACAAACACCGCACCTGTGAAGTCCAAATTGCAAGATTACGAATGGGTCATACTCATACTCATACTTTTTTGTCTCATTCTCATTTAATTTCGAAATCTCCAGTTCCATTTCCCTCTCTGGATTAACATTCTCTCCTTACAATCGACAATATTAAAACTGCGGCGGCAGCAGTTTACTTTCTTCCGGACGAGCAGTTGAGCAACTTTTCTGGTGAGAAAATGGAACATAATTCTTACGATACCGTATGTAATGGAATTTCTAGGAGTAAGTTCATTGAAATCCGCCAAAACAGAAATAAACTACTCGTGGCGACTACTTCGGCTTCTGCCCGTCAGGAATAAACGATTGCACTTGTACACTGAAAAAAAGATTGGTAGAATTCACCATTCCGTCACGCTGTATTTCACACAGCGTCAATTCAGAGTCAATTCTGCCAAGGGAAAAGTAAACGTTACTGTAAAATGGTACAGGTAACCATTACACGACAGCAGACTCGACCGGCAGAATCGACTTGAAGATGGTACAGATCACACAGCGTGAAGGAATGGTAAATTCTACCAATTGCCTTTTTCAGTGTAACCTTGTCTGCAATTGGTCCATTTCAAATACGTGCTTATGCGTTCTAGATCCATGGAAGGTATCTCTCACACAGAGGGCTCCTCAGTGAGGTTTAAATACCATTTTCCCCTGTTCGGAAAAAATAGGCAACCGGGGTTACACACGGGGCTGTGGCGGCTCAAGTTAGAGTAATTGGCACTAGTGAACTCATTTATCATTTCGCCGCGGTGCGCAACCCTCCCCCCTCCCCACCCCCGCTCCGGCGGCCTTCTTTTCCCTCCAGTATATTTACATCACTTGTCAATTACACGTACGAGCCAGGGTGCGAGGGTGCGGGGGTGGAGGTTCGCATTCAGAGAGGGAGGGAGGGGGGGATCGAGGAGGTCTCGATTCGCCGATACGCTCCGGCAGGCCCTCAAGAGACATAACCTCAACCGCGGTTCCGACCTCGGCTCGACGTATAACCTCACCGCCGTGCTTGAGGTCGTATCGTGCAAAAATTCTGCCTTCAGAATGAATGCTCGTTGGGGACTTCTGAGAGTATTTACAAGTTTTCCGAGATTTTTCTTCAATTAATGTTGGATAAAAAGGCAATGCCTCTAGCGGTTTTTTCTCGTCCAAAGGTTACACTTTGCTATGAGGTCCGTTTTCTGGTCAAGAAACAAAAATTAATGATAAAACTTACAAAACTCATTAAATTAAATCTACTTATCACTTTTTTTACCTAAAAATTTCAGTTTCCCTTCGTTGTCTTGAAAAAGAGAGCAACTCCAGTTAAAAGTGTACACTTAGGAGATTTCTGGTTCAAAAGGAACTTTTTTTGTCAGTGTATTTTACCAGTCGACTCCTTTATAAATATTAGAAAATTAGAAAATAGGTAAAATTAAACTACAGAGCGGTGCCAGGTTACTTTCACTGCCTTTGTTTGAATTGAAACTTTGTCTATACAAACGAACAATTTACAGATGCACTTAAATTGTCTCTTACGGAGAGTTCTAGTGTTTTTCGCTGAATATTACCCGATTATTTTAGAGGACTCGACCCTTTGTACCTATGAGTACTAGGATGAAGCAAATTTTCGCGGAAAGGCTTGATTCGTTTCCGCAGTCCGACTAATAGGGTGCTAATTCACGGAAAAAAATAGTTAATAACTAATTCTGTAGCTCAATGAATTGCGACCAACGTACGCGCCCAATACCTTTTGAACCCATACGAGGGAATTAATACAGCTAGTTTTGATACTCAGTTGTGTTGAACTTCCGCACAATTTTGATTACTGCCTCTCGTCGAGTTTTTTTCAGATCTATGTATTTGAAGACGAGGATATGACTTTTTGTGTAGTATGACAACATGGTACTAGAAGAGGGCAGGCATTTTGATTACTGCCTCTCGTCGAGTTTTATTTTAGATCTCATGTATTTCAAGAAGAGGATATGACTTTTTTTCGGAGTATGACAACACGGTGCTAGAAGAGGGCAGGTGTTGACAAGCAGGGTGAGAGACAGATAAAGTAAAGTTAGCTGCAATGAGAGTCGATTCGTTTGTCCAGCTGAGACAGAGAACTTCTTCGCGTTCCACACCCGGGAATCCCCGTGTTGACAGCGTTGTTAGATCGTAAAAAAAACCCCTTGCTTCGTACAAAGGAAAATTTATTAACGTAATTTCAAATGCCACAGTTTCATAATATAACTTCTCCAGCATCATTGGTTATAATGCAACTTGCAGTAATAATAGAGCTGATCTATCGTTATTGATTAGAGTGTATCGTTCGAAGAGCAGAATACCATGTGTGAAAATTCGAGGCGGTGGTATGTATTTTGCCCTTTGATACTACTTTTCGTCCAATGATCCTTTCCGATAATTGTACTGCATTTTGCAATTTGGACCTATAAATCCTGGCTCGTCTGAAAAAACACTTATGTGCATAGGGAAACTAATGGAACATACGTTGTTATTAAACTAGGCCAGAATTTATAGTTCCAAATTGCAAAATGTAGTCCAATTATACCCTTACCGAGTTACCGAACAAAATACTATACTGTTTTAACACGTCAAAAACGTGTTTGGTGATCCTTAGATGCAGGCTTAACCGCCCTTGCAGTTCAGTTTGCATTTTCCGGAAGTGAAGTTAAATGTTAGGGTCGTCAAGCTCGCGTTTAGGAATCACCAAAGAAGAGTATGTGGATTCGATCGACAACCTTGAATCAATCGACAAACCCCGTGAATCGATCGACAAACCCGTGAATCGACTGACAGCTCCGTAAATCGATCGGAAAAGCTATAAGGCAATCGAACTTCGTCGATCGAATCACGTCGATCGGTTTACGTTTTAATTTTTCAATCAATTCATGTCGATCGAATCCATACCCTCCATCGCTAAATACATTCATGACATCCAGCTAGGATGCTATCTTACACCGAAAGAAAGGATGCTGATTTAACATTCTTTAAAAAAGTGTGCAACAACTGACAAATCGCTGAATCAACCGCCACAGCAGTTAATTTTACATCTTGAAATCCCTGAAATGACTATTTACATCCAGAATGTTAAATCAGGATTTACTTCTACTATCTCCCTACCTAACTCCCTGAAAATCCTAAAAATGCCCAATATTACATTCCTTCCCTTTCAAATCCTACTCAGCTCGAAATAACCTCATTTGGCTGTAGATTCCTAAAAAATTTGAACAAAGGAATAGAAGCCACAAAACTCCCCCCCCCCAAAAAAAAAAAAAAAATTCTTTTTTTTTTTTTGTGTAGCATTTTATTTTTTCAGTATTACGATTTGGCACACGTGAGCTTATGCGTCAGCCCTGACCTCGCCCTCTTCCCTACTTTTTTTACATCCCTCATTGACACGTTACGCGGAAGCCGCTCTAGAGATTGGACTCCGTGGCCCGCACTTTATTTTATCGCCGGGCGAGACGAGACTGATGCGCCTGTTCCAACTTCCGGATCCCAAGAGCCTTCCTTTCCAAGTTGCTGATTATCGATAGCGTCACCGACTCACTCGCGAGGACTTCGCGGAATTCATCCGGATTTGCGATTTCCGATGTTAGCGAAACTCCGATGGCTGTCCTCGGCAAGAGCGCGATTAGCCAATCATAGGGTGTCTCGTTTTAATTCTTACAAAAATTTCACTTAAACAACTTAATCGGCAAAAATTCTCACGGTAAAATAACGACTCAATTCGGAAAAAAGACTGCGAAAAACAACGAAGGATAAACAAAAACCCAGAACGTTTCAAAATAATAACAATTTTTTTCCGATTGAAAATGAAATTGTTATTATTTTGAAACATTTTTTTTTTTTTTTTTTTTTTTTTTTTTTTAAGCCTTTTCCCCAAATCTGCCCCAAATTAAGTTGTTATTTTATTATGTAACAATGAAGTTTACTCTCACAGATTAACAAAAAGAAACAAAAGAAAGGGGGGGATGTTTCGTAGATGGAACATGAAAAAAAATGAAAATAAAAGTAATGGTTCTTTATTTTATATGCTTCTGACTTTTTTCCCCCTTTTTTTTTGCGTGTGGAAAAAACCATTGTTTTTAAATTAAATGGAAGTGCTTGTGTAGAATATGTTAATATAATGGAGAATTTTCAGGTTGAATTGATTGGTCCAATTGATCATTGACAACAATTTACTGACGGAGAAAGATTACATTCTTTTCAGCATTACTGACCATAACATGTGATATAATGACTGGTGCAAA